CCCTTCCTGTGCCTGATGTAGAAGGATGGAGACCTGTGATATCAGGCCGTATTGATCAAAGACAGGACCCCACTGTTGGGATGCCCATGCTTACCATCACCCTTGAGGCAAGCGATGATGCAGAACCACAGTTTCTCTCAGGTACAGCAATTGACGAACTACGCCACGGATCTGCCTTCTTTTCTGTTCGGCGATCGACCCCTGCAGACCCCGTTCGGTTTGAGCCCCGGTTGGCTCGTCACCATCAAGCTGGAGTTCCGGCGTCTGACAGCGAGACTAGTGATAATGGGTCCTTGGCTGATTTGATTGAAGGTCAAGTTTTGGTGCTAGTACCCGGATACACTGGCAAGATCTTCGATGTGGAAATTGCCACCCCAGCTACTGTTGCCAATCTCGTGGATGCAGTAAGGGAAGAAGTGCCAGTTTCTTTCTATCACCAATTTCCCAATTTTGTCGAGGTCAAGCCACAGCCCAGTAACCAATGGGCTGTCATGATAGCCCTATCTTGCTGGACGCAACAAGCCGACATAGTCGTCTTGGATCTTAGCCGTATCGATGGTCGTATCTTTGCGATGGAGCTTCCACAGGCCATCTCCTTCACCGACCTTTGTGAAGTTGCGAGAATACCAGCAGATGGCTCCTTTTCGATCTATGCGTATGGTGCAACTGTTCCACTTAGTGACCAAGGGGTCTTACCGGTTCAGGCGCACGGCAGCATTCAGTTCGTCCCCCAGGGAGAGGCTCCTGCCCCCACATACTCCCTTCTTGCCATGCTGGGATCTTCTACAGGCTGGGACCCTGAGGTCCAAATCCCAAGAGGCCCAGGCGGTCATAGAAGTAACTTCATCTGTGCCGTTCTAGAGGACGGGAACCGTCTCTACTTTATTCGCCCTAGTCGAGGGCAGCACTACACCGAAGACCTTGCTGAAGAGTTTGGACTCGCACTGCATTGGACCACAGCCCAGATTACCTATCCTAGAGTCCATAATGCCAGCCTTTTCGGTTATAGGTGTAAAGGCATTGCCCTTGTGTCTACTCGGTTTCCCAATGTGCCAGTGCCACCAGCGAGATCAGATCCAGGCCACTTTCTGCTCGCGCTGGACTGCAGAGCCCTTCTTCAAGGCTGGCACCAGTTTCCCGTGCAAAACTACCACTGCTCACGGGCCGCTATAGCCAGACAATTCCAGCCCTTCACACCGGATGGGTTCAGAGTTCAGATAGACGGAGCACATCTTGGTGCAGACGGGGACACCCTGCAGGTTACCAGAGGCGTAGTGCTGACAGTGCAATGGGTTCCTGCATCACCCGCCCCTGCAACTTCTGCGAATGATGCCGAGAGTGTTGATTTGGCAAGCGATCCACTCTCCGACATTGACCTCTCCGAAGGCATGCCCGACCATGCTACTCAAACCTCCCGTGAGGCAGCATCTTCTGCCAACGCACGCAGTCGCTCCCCTCGGGGTGACCGACGAGCCCTAGATATAGCACACACTATATCACTCAAGCCATGGCGGGATGCTTGCGCCATCCCTCCTGGAGATTGTGTTGAGCTTGTAACAACTAGGGCATTAGCAGACTGTCTTATAGATCAAGACCCTAGCGGACCGCTCACCGTGGAGCAATACACACGCATTGGTCATCCCAGGCAGTCTAAGTTTCTGTCTGAGCCTGTCTCACAGAGACCCTCACTAAGATGGGCACTTGCGGCTCTCCGAGCTCTTGCTCCGGATATGGGGCAACAATGGCGCTACGTTCCTGATCGGGATGCAGTCTTCCTCAACTTTCATCACTCTCCGCCCAGTTCGGACTCTGAGGATGACAGTGTGCGGTGGATCAGTTGTCTGATCCTCGTTCCGCACTATAAGCCCGAGGCCTATACCATAGCGGTTCAGTTCCCTAGTACAGTAGCTGATATGGCCATGGCTCTTACAATCGCTAGGGAGGAGAGGTCGAAGCGCTTCTTTCCCAGCCTTAGGCCCGTGCATCCTCAAACCCGATTAGGTACAGGGGTTTGGGTAGCCAGTCCTGCGCACGCACCAGATGCGCATATTGTCTGCCTGGACACTTCCGCCATTGACGGACGCTTGTTTGCGCAGGTTGTACCCGCATACGTGACAGTGCAGATTCTTCTCGAATCAGCACAAATTCCTGAAGCGCTCCACCCAGCTGTGTGGACAGGTGATCCCCTGTGTCGCCTTGCTGATGATGCGTGCATTCAGACCCTTCCGGCCGCGACCTTTGTGTTCACTTCCGACGATGAGGCCCCAGCAGGTTCTGTTGTCTTTGAGGACCTGCTGGACCAACCAGCATGGTGGCATGAGGTTGCCAGCTATATCACCCCTGCACTGGGCAGCACTTACGGCGCTGTGCATGAGACCAGAAACATACCGTTCATTGCTGATATGCGCTCGCCCACCACCTACCGCAGACAGCTCGCGCAATGTCTTGAGGTATCCCCAATATACCTCCGCATACACCCTGCGGCACCACGTGTGCCTGACGCGGCCTTTGCAGGTCTGGGGTGCATTACAGTTGTAGCAGCACATTGCACTACAGCTGTAGAAGATGGTACGCATTTCAGCATACTGATAGACCAAAGGCCTTTGCTTGCAGGTTGGCGGTCAGTCCCAGTTGCGTCCTCTGCTGTATCCCAAACTCGCCTGCTGCAATGTTTGGCCTTCTCTCTTCCATCAGGTTGGCAGGTCCGCCTTGACGAAGGACATCCGCATTCGGATGTGGTGGAGGTCCGGCCAGGCCATGTTTTCACAGCTGCACCAGTTCGTTTAGAAGCCTTGCCCATCCTGCAGTATTCGAGCCGCGAAGTACCATCAACACAGATAGTGCCTGCTGAAACTCCAGTGCCTGGCTTACCAGCCACTGGGTCCGACGTCAATGATCAGGACCCGGATATTATTCTCCCAGGCAACCTTCTGATGCCCGGTGATCCCGATACATCTGAGGAGGAAAACACGACTGCCCATGTTGTAAGGTTTCTCCTTTTTGCGGTTGATTTTGTACCGGAAGCTGTAGAGGTGATCGTTCCGCTCCCTTGCGACGTGCCCACAGCGTTGCAGCAAGTCGCTGCCGCACGCGCTCCCATCATCGGCGCGCGCAGCCCCAGACTGATTCCGGTTAGTCACCAAGGCAGAGATGATGTTGGGTTGGTTTTAGCGCTACCGTCATGGAACCCTCAACGCATCATCGTACTGTTCCACAATAAAGTCCAAGGAGGCAGACTGTATGCTGAACCAGTTCCGCCCTTTGCATCTCGCACTGCTCTTCTAGCGTGTGCCGGCTCGGGTATTCCTGATACAGCCCGGGTTTTCGTCAAAGATAACTGGTGGCCTCTTGCAGCAGACGTCACTGCGACCCTTGCGCATGGGGACCTCATTACTATAACTGACGCGGACCAAGGTCCAGGTCGAGTGTATACAATGACCGCACTCCTGCAGCAGCGCTTTCCACCAGTCAGGCCTGGATCCGGAATCCCTCTGCCTGGCGCACGAGATGACCAGCTCTTTCTGTTAACGGACGGCCAGCCTCGCAGCTTCCCGCTTGACAGGTCTAGGACAGCACAATTGCGAGCCGACATAAGCCAAACATTGCAAGTGCCCGCTCCGCAACTTCGCCTTAGACCTGCGGTCCCGGGAGTGCCAGATCTAATGATATACGGTTCCTTTAGACGGGCAGTCGTCATAGCGACCTCGGCCCCTATTCGCGTAACTCCTACTGCCGACGGGGCCACAGCCTTCATCCTAGATTTGCGCCAGATCTTCCGGAGCTGGCAGTGGGATCTTGCCCCAGAAGGCACTGTTTGCATCCAAAGTCTGTGCAATCGTTTTCTTCACCGATGCCCACCCGGCTTCTATGTAGCGTGTTTTCGTGGGACACCACCCATGGCTATTCAGGATGGACGGGTACAAGTGCAACCAGGTGAAGTGATCCAAATTGCCTTCAGGCCACGGAATTTCCAAGGCCACGCAGTGCCAACTCATAGAGACGGCAGTACAGCCCCGGTTGCTGCAAACATGCCTGACTCAGCTACTGCATCGGCCTCTGATTCGGCACCTGCCACGGCTACCGCAGCTACATCACCTCAACCAAGTACGTTGCTGCCGCATGGCCCAGCCTCCAGACAGGCATCTGCCTACAGCCGTCAGGCAAGTTACGTTAGCAACTGCCGGCCCAGTGCCACTGTTGGAAGACGGATCTTTGCCGCAATCATAGCTGTCACCGCGATTGATCGTAACCAAGCAGTGCAGCTCCCTTCTACTAGTCGTCAACCGTGGTGTACCCGCGAGGGGACTGCCGATAGAGTAGCCATGTGGCCGAGGCTTTCACTTCATCACGCCCATTCCAGTGGGCCAGCCCCGGACACCTCTGTCCTCTCGGCAGTCTGCGCTCGCAGACCGGTTCCCACGCCATGCAGAAATGGCGTCCGCCACCGACAGACACAACCTGACTACTGCCCAGTTGATCATGACGGTGATACCTCTGATCTACACCTCCAAACTCTACTGCATCAGAGTAGCCGACGATCGGATTTCACAGGATTCTTTGATGCAGTTGCCGTTCTGGAAACCCTCATGGAGCATCTCCCGTCTATAGTCCACTCAGCAGGCGGCATGTATACTTCTCAGCACATCTGCTTACAGGAGTTACTGCCCACAACCGAATACCAGCAGCAAGCATTGCAGCTTAATGCACTGGTGCCTGCACCTTTGACGCCCTGTGATACTTCACTAGATTGGTTAGATAGTGATTTGTCCTTTCTGCTCGCAGACGCAGCCGTACCTGTTGCCAAACGCCTGCTTTTTGAAGCCATCCCCATTTGGCAGGCCCATATCGCCACGACTCCAATGCAGGCCCTTGTTGTCTATACTGATGGTTCTGCACCAGGTTCTCAGTTACAGCAGGGTCCGTTATCTTGTGGTTCATGGGCCTTTTCTGTATGGGCGCAGCTCTACCATACGCCAACACTGCACTTGATCGGACACGCCATGGCCCTGACACAGCCCCCTGACAGTGAATATCACGTCGGAGAACAGAATGAACTGCCCCTCACATGTGAGCTGTTGGCCATTGTTTGGGCGATTACTTGGATCATCGAGTATGGCCCCTCATATGAGGTTGGGATAGAGCTTAGGTACGATTGTACTTCGGCTGGTCGAGGCACCTTTGCTGATTACAAAGTTGCGACAGGTGCCCAACATGCCAGCAGTTCGGAACTGGCACACTTTGCGTGTTATCTTCGTCAACTTGCGGACCGGCGTGTGTCCCTGACACATGCTCACGTGCCCGGACACAGTGGAGATGTTGGCAACGAGCTTTGCAATGAGCTGTCCAAATATTGCAGACGGCACGGTATGCATTTCACAGACATTTGCCTCCCTCGTTGGCCTGGCCAGGTCTTCCGGCACCCATTGAAAGCCTGGCTCTGGCTCGTCGACCAGCATAGTGGTGATACGCCAACGCTCTTTGCTTTAGAGAGTGAGTCCGTGCGCTTACAGGCACAACCCAGGCTGCCTACACATGGGCCACAGCTTGGCTCTCATGAGACTGAACGGAGCGTCAACAACCTTGTTTCAAGCATGTCACTTGCTTCTTACAATGTTCTTACCCTCATGGACCCCAGCCGTCCAGGGAAAAACGCCCGTCAGGAAGGTCTCAAAGTTTCTGCCAAAAGATGCCTATTAAAGCGGCAGCTCCAGCAGCTCAACGTGCTTCTCTGTGGCATCCAAGAAACGCGCATTGTGTGCACGGAAATGCTACCAGATGCGGATTTTTGGATGATACATTCAGCCGCCACTCCAGCCGGGCATCATGGTGTTGCCCTCTGGATTAGCCGTAAGCTACCATACGCAAGATGCGGCCAGCACATGTGGTACTTCGAAAAGGACCACTGCGCGGTGACCAGCTTTTCTCCAAGACACTTGGTCGTGCAGTTAAATGCACCCTACGTCTCCTGGACGGTCCTAGTTTGCCATGGCCCGTCAGAGCCGCCGGCAGCTTCCGGCACCGCAGCCGCTTTCTGGGCTACATGCCGCCGAGCAGTCGCAAAACGCCCGTCTCATTCCGAACTTATTGTTCTTACTGATGCTAATGCGCACCTCGGGTCCCTCAGCTCAGTTGCTGTAGGCGACGTGGCGCCTGAAACCGAGACTGCAGCGGGAACTGCCTTTCACGACTTTCTTGCTGATCAGGATCTCTTTCTGCCCTCTACTTTTGCCAGTTCCCACCATGGTCCCTCGCACACGTGGGTCGCGCCTTCAGGGGCAGGGCACAGACTCGATTACATTGCGGTCCCTACACAGTGGCCCATTGAGGGCGTCAAGTCTACAGTCCTCTATCAGTTTGAAAGCCTGCAGCTCAGTGTCGATCATTACCCCGTGCTGCTACAATGTAACCTCATGTGCAGGGACCCTGAGGCCCACTTCACCACCTTTCGACGACGAGCAGTACGACCTGCCACTACAGTGCCTACTCCCCAATATCTTGCTGCACTCACAGTTGCCCGGCAGCAACCGTCCCTGCAATGGACTGCACAGGTCGACGACCATTTTGCCGCCCTGACCACTGCCTGGACGAATGCCAGCAAAAGTCTTGATGAGCCCAATGCCCCCAAGCCACGCCAGGCATATCTCCAGCCGGACACCCTTCAGCTTGTCCGCCAACGCAAAGGAGTTCGAGTTGCTCTCTCACAGACCCATCAGGAGCTACGCCGGCGGCGCCTACTGATTGGCTTTGCCGGAATGTTACACAACCGTAATGGTACCTCATTTCCTGCGCAACGCTGGGTTGCGGAGTTACAACATCAGGTTGCTATTCGGACGCGGGCACTTGATGAAGCAGGCCGCACTATCAGACGGCTCGTTAAACGTGACAGGATAGAGTACCTGCAGGGCCTGGTTCGACGCGTTGCGGCCTCTGACATTCGTGACCCCAAGAACTTATTCCGGGCCGTTCGCAAAGCATTTCCAGCAGCGTCATCCAAAAGAAGACAGGCTTTTCAGCCTATTCCAGCCATTCAAAATGCTGAGGGAGAGCTTGCCTCCAACCGTGACGATCGACATGAGGTGTGGCGCTCTCACTTCGCAGCCCTCGAAGATGGAGAGCCTATTCTAGCGGAGGACTACCCGGACCGCTTTGCCGAGCAGAGGCAAGCGGTCTCGCTGTCATCAGGATTCGACATCCATGCCCTAGCCACACTTACTGCCATAGAACAATTGGCTTTAGGTCTCAAACGAGGGAAAGCCTGTGGACCGGACGGCCTGACCGGAGAACTCCTGCAGCTCGCGCCTGCTGCGACGGCCCGCCTTCTAGCTCCACTTTTCCTTAAATCGGCCATGGGCATCCAGGAGCCGCTTGAATTCCGCGGAGGATGTCTCATTCCTCTTGCAAAACAGGCACATGCTGCTCTGCAGTGTTCCAAATTCAGGGCAATACTTCTTTCCTCCGTGCCAGGAAAGCTGTATCATAGACATGTACGGAGCTGCCTTTGTAATCATCTACCTGCAGTCGACCTCCAAGCTGGAGCTGTCCCAGGCCTTGGGACTGAAACCATAGCTCTTGCTGCTAGGGTTTTCCAAGCAACTGCCATTTCTGAGAAAAACCACTGGAGTCTCATCTTTTATGATGTTAAGGCAGCATTCTACCGTGTCATTCGTCAGCTAGTCGCACCTGTGGGCGACGACGACAGAAGCCTGCGTAAATTCTTCCATACCCTTGGAGTGCCGCCGGAAGCGCTCCAGGAATTGGCAGGACACCTTCATAGGCTTGCTGCGATACCTCAATCTGGTGCTAGTGATCACCTGACTGCTATAGCAGCAGACATTATGCAGGGCACATGGTTTAGAATGGACTCATCGTCCATTCTTACATTAACACATGTCGGAACTAGACCAGGCGATAGCCTTGCCGATGTCTTCTTCGGTTTCGCCTTTGCAGCGTATCTTCGGACATCTGACGTCGCTCTTGACACCATCGGTCTCTCTACCGCCACACCGACCTTGAAGACTGTTCCCCCGTGGGGATCGGAAATTGCTCCTCCACGTCTAGGAGCTGGTGCTTGGGCTGATGACTTTGTCCATTTTCACCGGCAGCCCCAACTCGACCACTTAGTCTCCAACGTTCTGCGCATAGTGACTGTATATGTCGAGCGTTCCGACGCTATTGGCATGCAGCTCACGTTTGCTAAGGACAAAACAGCTGCCATGCTCTCGATTCAGGACTTGAGCCAAACGGGCCTGGCATGTGTCCGTCCCGGTCCAGAGGGCTATTGCATCATAGGGCAGAGCGCCGTCACCAAGCTCACCTTTGAGCTGCCCATAGTTGATGCCTACAGGCACCTAGGTGGCATCATGACTAGCACAGGCACTCCAGCGCCCGAAATTGCATTTCGATCGGCGCAAGCTTGGATCCCTGTCCGCCCTTTACGCACCAAGTTGTTTGCGGCACCAGGCATTCCGCTTGAGGTTCGCCGCCACCTTTTGCGTTCCCTGGCTATGTCCCGTTTTGTGTTCGGCTCTGCGGTGCTGCGTCTCCATGTTGCAGTTCACTTCCGTGCTTGGGCACGAGCCTATGTAGCACTTTGGAGATCCCTCCATCGTAGACAGCAGCACGAGAAAACGCCCCATGCCTACGAGACCCTTCTGCGGGCTTCCGCGCCCTCCCCACCACTTGCACTGGCATTGGCAAGGGCCGCCCTTCTGCGTCAAATCGTGCATACCGGCCCGTCGACACTCCGCCATTTGCTCTGGCATCAATGGGAGGCTGACCGAGACTCCTCATGGTTGGGACAGATAGTGAAGGATATTAAGCATGCTGCGCTGTACAGTCCGACAGCAGAGACTCTGCTGTCGGACGGACGTCCTCTCCACGGCCTTATCGAAGCTATCCTTGATCAGCCCATGTGGTGGACACGGCTCCTCAAGGGTGCGGCCAAACAGTGGCATAAAGATCTGGAACAATGGGATGCAGCCCGTGGACCAGAGACGGACCCTAGGATGGTTGTAGAACCGGCTCCCTTATGTGAAGCCCAGGATCTCCCGTTCCAATGTCATCTGTGTCAGGCTTCTTTTCCCATGCGTAAGCATTTGTGGGTTCACTACGCGCGGAAGCATCAGGTCATTACACCCACACGTGCACTGGCACATACTGAGACGTGTGTAGCGTGCCTCCGACATTATAATACTGTCGAGCGCATGCAGTATCATCTCAAAAGCTCCAGTGCATGCCTGCAGCGCACCGCATGGCTGCTGGCTCCGCTTACCAGAGCTGAACTTCAAGAAGTAGAGCACCCACATAAGTCCAGACTCCAAGCCGTAAAGAAAGGACAGTGGCATTGCTTTTCCGCCACTGTCAAACCTCAGCAAGCCCTCGGGCCTGCTTCTCTTACGGCTCGCGAGAGGGTAGAAGCTGAAGGAGAAGACATGTCCCTTCTCACCCTTTCGCGTTTATTCCACCCAGATCCCGCCTATGTACAGTACGTGAGCGAATACGTCGCTGCTAGGTCTGTTGAAGGCGCGCGGACCACAGCCGGCGGTTTCTGGGATGGAAGACCGTGTTTCACTGATGCATGTTGAATTTACTGGACGCGCCCCCCGGGGCTCCAAGGTCCTGCGAGAGAGACCATTATCGTAGGGGTTCCCAAGTATAGCCACAGTATTATTCGGTCTCTATATTATAATTGGTGTGCAGGGTTTAGGCGCTGCAGTGCCGAAACGAAGCTTACCTGCACCCTCAAAAACATATGACAGCTTAGGGTGACCCATGGAGACCTCTGATCATGGGTTTAAGGTTTAGAGGCTTGAGGGCTTAGGGTGAGGGTTCAGGAAAGTCATCCGCTTAACAAACAGAGATTCTAACGATAGGGCCTTTTCAGGAGAGGGAGGAGCAGGGGTCATCGCTGAAATTTTACTGACAGTCAAGGCAAGCAGCACCGAGGATGGTGAAGATTGAAGTGGGCTCCTTCGCAGCTCTGGTGTTTCAATCGAAACATGTCAGGCCTTTAGGGTTTTGGGTTCCGGGTGTTCCTGTCGAAACATACTTGCTCTTGCTTTCATATGTGCCAAGCCATAAGCCCTAAACCCCTAAAGACACTTGGAGACCATACTTTGGGGCCGGAATAACTAAAAAAAAGGGTTTTGGGGTATCTTATTATACTATCACGTTGATAAGGAGCCCCCAAAATAGTATTGGTCGCTATTTAAGCCCCTGTAGTACTTTCATACTGAGGCTTGCAGAGGTTGGAGTCTGGAGAGGCTTAATGACCCAGAGAGCCCAATTTTGCCAATACCCCTAAATTAAGGAACATGGCTTAAATTATATAGGGCTTCATATTATGATTTAAGCCATATTCCTTAATTAAGGGGCATTGGGCTCTCCGGGCAGGGGCTCCTAGGTGGAGAGTGGCAGTTGGAGAAACTGGAGTGGGTGACCCTTTCTTCGGGCTTCTCCAGGGGCCCTTGCGATAAGCTCCCGGCCATTTAGGAGCTATAATTTCGGGCCCCTTGGAGTCAAAAACCCTAAAAAGTGAACCCCTAAATCGTAGCCTTAAATCCTACAAAACCCTAAAAAGTGAACCCCTAAACCGCAGCCTTAAATCTTTAACTCTGAGGCTCCTCTTCCTCCACCCTCAGCCCCGAAAACCCCGAAAAAACCCAAACCCCCCTACCCATATGCCATACAGAAGCCTGAGCCCTACAACATGCTAAATCTTCGAGTTCCTTCTTACTGTGTGGTGTGACTCAAAAACACTATTCTGACTAGTAGGGCCATGACATTCGTGTATTGGGTGCCCGTTCAAACTCGGACCCTGAACCCCCAAGAGGTTCAACATGCAGCCAACTCTAAACGCTCCCGAACTTGAAATAACCCTGAAACTCCATGTGCTAGAAGATTAGGCCTTGAAGTGCCTAGGAACCCCTTTGGGCCTAGGGTAAGGAACCCACAGAGCAACCCCAAACGCCCTCGAACTTGCAAAAGGCCCCCAAAGATTGACAGTTGAACTCAACCACCAATTCCCTCAAACTTGAAAAGGGAACAGCCGAAATCACATAGGTGCCTATGGGTGCATAATGGCATAGGCATATAAAGACTTTTAGGTAGTCTAAGCAGATACCATTACTAGCTGTTACTAACCATTATATGGCCTCCGTATTCTCCCTGAATCTATTTTGAGGTCGGATGGCAGCTCGCATGCTTCAGAAATTGGGAAAAGCCCGTGATAGTTCTGAATTGGATCCTTTGCTTGTGTGGGCTGTAATTTAGCAACCTGCTTCAGAAACCTTGGGTCTTTTTCAGGGTCCCTTATATGAATCCTAATATGTTGGGGTTATACTGCTGATGGACAAAATCCTGCATGACCCTAAGGACTCTAAACTATGGGAACTATGGTATATTCCTTATAATGGGTAATGCAGGATTTTGTCCATCAACAGTAGGGCCATGGTTTCTTCATCAGGTTCCTAGATTACATGGACCTATAGGGCCTCGGCAGTGCTGGTATCCCCTATGCGTCAAGGGCCTGAGGATTGCGATGGTCCAGCCCTTCTGGTCCCCTCAACTCTGAATCTAAACCTCCATACCCTCAAATCACGAAACACCAAATGTAGGAGTTAGGATTGGGGGGATATGGACCCTCTCAACAAGGCCCCTTCTAAGAGAGCCAGAAGCGGGTTAAGAAGGGTCCCCTTTAGGAAATCCCCTAATACTACCTGGGAAAATGGCACTAACCGAACTCGAAACCTTGTGGCAGTCCTCGACCAGTTTCGTAAACTTGTGCAGCAGGGAGTTACCCACCGTTGTGACCTGGACTACTTGAAGGATCATGGATCCTAGAGTTTGGATGTATAACTAAGGGAAGTACAGTCGCTAATTGAAAATGACACGGCTTCGGGCACTTATAACTCTACCCAGTACCGTAAGTCCGCTGATCCTCCAAGCACTGTCTTTATACGGATGCCGTAAGGCTTTATAAAGATATTGTAAGGCTTCATGCACAAGGGCTTCATTGCGGGCTCGTGGAGCTGTTTATGAGTGATTCCCTCCCTTCAATATCTCCCGTACTCCGAGCAAGCCCACAAAGAGAGCATTCGGCCATCAGTTCGTCACTTAGAACGCGACGCTCCGTCTTAGCTATTGTGAGCCCGAGAAAGTTGGAACATGGATTCAGGATGATTAGTGCTGGGATTCCCTATACTCTACCTTAAGGGCATGAGGATAATGATGTTCCAAATTTCTGGCTTCTACTCTCATCTGACGGCCTTAAACCAAGAGCCAAGAATAAGGGCAAATGAATTCAAATCATGTAGAACCTCTCACGCAGGTCCGAACATTAAACCCTAAACCTCCTGCACTTCCCTTATGATTGCTTGAAGGGGGCGGGAACTTATATAGTAAGTAGGGTTATACTTGGGGTAACTCCATTTAGGATACGGTTAACTCTACTTATAACCATACTAACTAAGTCCCCTGCCCCTCCAAGTAGAACCTTTCTTACCCCCGACTGAGGAACCCCTGCGCGGGACAGACGAGATTCGGCGAGAGAGGCAGAGGGACGCAGAGGGAGAGAGAGAGAGAGAGAGAGAGATAGAGGAGGGGAGAGAGAGACGAGAGAGGGAGGAGAGAAAGAGGACAGAGAGAGAGAGAGAGAGAGATGACAGAGAGAGAGAGAGAGAGAGAGAGGGAGGGAGAGGGAGGGAGAGAGCGGGAGCTGGAACTAAATCCAGTTTTCGCACATGACATGGTATGTACATGCAGGACACAGACGTAGCTATAGGCAGCCAGACTGTAACAGACAAAGGACTCTCGAACAGTGTATGCACCTGTGTGCGTGTGTATGTATGTGTATATGTATATACTTTTGTGTATATACTTTTGTGTATATATATATATATATATGTATATGGATTTGTATACATACATGCATGCATGCATGCATGCATGCATACGGAGACACATACGTGAAGGACTTAATTGGACTTGAAACATGAAAAATACATACATAATGGTCATGATAACAAGGAACAGCGATGACGAAGCCGGGTGGCAAGCACCACGAAGATCAGTTGGAAGACGAAGAACCAGAACTGCAGCTTGTGCTGTGCGAACCTGGTGGCTTCCCTGATTACTGAACCCCAGCCTTACTGTAAACCTTAAAGCGGTTGAGTTCAGGATGTTTGGGGCACCGAACAAATCCGAAAACCCAAGACAGTAAACCATTCACCCCCAGACACGGATTGCAAACCCAGACCCCGAAGCCCTCAAAGGCAAAGAACCTAAACATGAATGGAAAGAAGCAGCTAGAAGCATGACATGAATTGGGGCTGATTCCTAACATCCCCAAATCCTTGTGAACCCCTTCACAAGGCTCCAAGTCAAGAAACTCAGTTGGTTTTAGGCTACCTGAACCCTAACTAAACCGACCTTTTCGGTAGTGTAAGCTTGAGGATGTTTTTTTTGGGTTCTATCTTGGGCGAAGCCTTTAAGCCTTAGTAATACCTAAGAAAACCGTATCAGCCTCGTATCGAAACCCGAACAAAAGCCCGGTAAACTCTCTCTTGGAATTCAAGAAAAACCTTGTAAACTCCGTATAAACGTCCGACAAGATCCTTGAACACCCGTTCAGGCAGGATTCAGGTCTGTGGTGCGAACTTGCGCAGGTCTGGGGATCTCATGACATTCGGCGTCACTGATTGCAGTCATTCGGGTTTAGGATTTAGGGCTTTAGGGTTCAGGGTCTAAGGCTATTTAGGTTCATCCTCCATTCCGACCCACAAGAGTTGGACCATGGAGTTTTGGCACTCTCTAAAACTACGTTAGGGCCCCCCAAAAAGCACATGAGCAAAAATAAGGATAGGCAGGATAGGGATATCCCTTATAATGAAGCCCCATAAGGTAGGGATATCCCTTTAAAAAGCGTATGCGTATGTGCTTTTGGGGGTCCTTTCGCATTTTAAGGTTTAGGGACCAAGGATTTAGGACCTCGAAAAATCTACTTCATAATAAATAATAAAGGATCATGGGACTTAGTAACTAGAACTCTTATTGGGGTAACTATACTTTAAGTACTTATAGCCCCAATTCCGG